CACACACACACACACACACACACACACACACACACACACACACACACACACACACACACACACACACACACCACTGAGTGCCAATGTTCATAATAACACTTGCACAAGCCAAAAACAAAATAACAAAAAGGCCCATAAAGGCATGTACACGAGTGCACACAGCAACAGAAACACAGTGCATGTATTCTTACACACACACACACACACACACACACACAGTCACATGATCCTGCAGTCAGAAAGAGACGATGTACAGCTACAACACATTGTGGGCATACCACCTTCATTTAGTAAGCGCTAAACTGTGTTTTTATAGTCTACAGATACATTTCATTATTCTTCAGACTCACTAAACAGCCTTAGACGTCTGTTTGTTCCATGGCTACAAATTACATGACATTCTTCAGTTTTAATGTAACACTGCAATCAACTTCAAACTGCAGCTGCTCACAAGTCAACACTACAGTCGCATTTCCTCACATTGCAGCCACACAATAATCTTCCATGTCTGCCGGCACTACCTGCAACTAAAAGTCATTTGTTGAAGGACTCGTACAGTGTCATTTTATGCTCCCAAAATGTCCAGAATTCAAACGTTGGTACTAATTACATAGAAAATAGGGACAGTTTTCAACTGGTGCAATTCTAATTAATTAATTCCAATTTTTTTCTAGAGTAGCCTCTTTTATTTAGTGCACAGCGAGGCACCTGAACATGCAGAACTTAAAACTTTTCCCACGGGCAAGCAAACAACTATGGAAAATAAAGTTTTTACATGACTAAATAATTCACCGGCTTGGCTGCTGAGGACATTTCTATTTTCATTTTAACGTGAAGCAAATAAAATGATTTAGACATTACAAACCTGTTGCCTTTTTATAATCATCTCAGATAACATTGTACTCAAAAACGATGTCCAATGAGGAAAGACAATTAATGGTTCTACGTGTGTTTAACAGTTCAGCCAAATGATCTAAAACTATTTCTCTGGAGGTTTGACACAAAGTCAAACCTGAAATGTTCGAAACACAACAACAAAAGTCTATTTAAATTTAAACTGTGATGGATGTTTATCACCCGTTAGAATGACTTTGCTTGTGTTCTTTTCCTTCCACTGCTGGACATTATTGTGTTTGCAGATCTCAACAATTAACTTTAGTAAGTACTGTATTTAGTAAATACAGTTTATTATCCCCGAAAGGAATTATGGACACATCCCGACTGAAATTCAAGCAGCATTCAGGATTATTGCGCACATTTATTTCTATAAAAACATCGATCTGTCAAATACAGAACGGTTCGTTAATGATACAGTTTCCCCCCTCGTGTTCAGTAGGGACATGTGACGAGTGGAGAATTAGCACGTCGTCCCAGAGCAGACTCACGAAGAAGAAAACACTGAGTTGTCCTGCGCTCAGTGGAAGAGGAAATGCTGTGCTGGTTGGAGGCTCGGGGGCCATGTTTTGGAACAGTGACCTCATCCACACCACCCGCCACCCTTTTCCCGAGAAGAGAAGTCAATCTGACAGACGAGGAGGGAGTGAGAGCCGACATCCTCTCTCACCAACAGCAACTTTTACTATCAGAACAGAAAAACACACACACACACACACACACACACACACACACACACACACACACAGCAACAGAGATACAAAGCACAAATATAGGCCTCCACCCCATATGACATACCTGGATTACTACACTGTAAGGACATTCACAGATTGTTCCTTTGTAATCTAATAGGAAACGAGTTAGGAAGAGCAACTGAGGAGGGATCCCTCCTCCAGGACTGAAAGAAGTGCAGATGTTGTGCGTACAGAATAGATCAACATGTGAAGCAGCTTGTTCATAACAAATTAAAACTAATTTAACGAAAATGGTACGACATGATCAAAATCTTCAGAACATCTAAATGGATCTCGAGGTCAGATTATTCTGTTATTTGTAAATCAAGAATGAACTTTGAACATTGACTTAGTTGTTGCTTTCTGAAACAGGAAACAGCATCTCGATGCAAATGTAAATTTTAACAAGCTTCAACTCTCAACCCAGTTAATCTTAAACCTCAATACTGCTAATCCTGAACTTAATCTCTTGTAATAGGGAGGAGTAGATTTGTTTCATGTCTTTATCTTTGTGAGGACTTTTAGGCCTAATAGACATATAAATTAAAGCGCGCACACACACAAACAGTAGAGCCTTTTTGTGCTGCTGGGATAAATCTGCAGTTTCCTAAAGGGAAGCCCACTACTCCCCCAATAAATCCCCCTCATCACCACACACACACACACACACACATAACCCCTTCATGCCCCTGTGGGAGACCTCCCATTGTCTCCCAGTAGGAACTGGGGGTGGGGGCCTGCCAGCAGGAAACCCATCAGGCTGTCCTGAAAGCTGCTTCCTGAAGGCAGCAGGAAAACACCGGAGAGAACGCAAGCAAAAACTGAGAGCTGAACAAATAGAGCCAGTGTGACATAAACACACACACACACACACACACACACACACTGCGGCACCCTGCAGCCAACAACAGCACCGAGGCCGACATCGCATGATGCATCACATGGAGGTTAGATAACGTGTTATCACTTTTGGC